ATGGCAAAGAAGCTGACGGCCCATCTGATGGAAAGTGATAACCGTCACCGATAGATACCATGAACATAACAGAGTATATATACTATTCCGTCCATGATACTCCCCATGCGTTGCCATTCCTGAGGACTCAGGTGTTATTCCTCTGTACCCTGTAAATTTACTACCATACCCCATCCTTCAAACCGAAACACAGTCATGCATACACAACTGCTTCATGACAGAAACACGTACAGGACATTGGTGCCCAAGCAAACAAATTTTGTACAAAGTTTTCCTTTAGTATAGCTACATCTATTACCTCTAACTCTTTGAAAATTACAAACTTATGAATAAGCTGAATTGTGATATGATGAAGACTTATTCAAATCAGCAATAGAATATGAATAATAGATTATTATTAAAAAAAAAACCCTCAAAGTATACTGGCACTGTCATATTATCATCAGGGTCTAATAGTAAATGGAAGATAATAGACAAAATAGATTTAAAAAAAAAAACACTGTGATGTAAAATATTCACCTTCACCTAAATATTGTTAAACAATGGCCTTAAAAACTAAACACAAAATATTTTTTTACAATAAACAAAGCAATGTACTTTAAAGTGAAAGAAATACAAATGGCCTTTATGATTCACAAAGGAATTGCAAAACAAACATACGAGCATGCGAATGCACTAATTCATGTATCATTTTAATCTTTATGCAACAATGTATTCACTTATTTGGCTAAATAAACAATTGCATTATATAAAAAATATTAAAAAATAAACAAAAATAAATATAAAACATAAATAGATACTTACTACTAATACTTACTACTAATACTTACTAATAATATCCAATCAGAAGCATAAAATGTATTATAAAAAAAATGCCAAGCCTCGCAACGCAATTGTTCCATGCAAAAAGTTATGAAATCTCATGTAATTTTAGTTAGTCCCTATGGAAGACTTAGTAATTCCACGCCAACATATTCAACTAATGAAATACTTTATTTTTAAGTGTTTCAGATAAATTTTATTTTTAGCTTTAGTTTTAATAGTTTATTAGATTTATTTAGCAATCGAAATATTATGTTTTGTATAAGATTTTGCTTTTATAATTATGTTGCATTATAACTAGTTAGATGCCGTGTGGTCCTAGCATAGAGTGGGTAACCCCTTATTGTCCCGTGGGTGTCGTAAGAGGCAACTAATGATCTTTTTAGCTATATCCAACAGTGGACAGTTAACAGTTGATACAATTCAATACAATAGCTGTTATAGTATGGTCTTGATCAGTAAAACTTAGAGGGAAGGGGGGGGGGGTTCAAAAGTGCCGTGAGTCGTTTTTTTTATACAACTTAGAATGGCAAACAAGCTGACGGCCCACCTGATGGAAAGTGGTAACCGTCGCCTATAGACATGAGCAATACCATGGACGTAACAGAGTATACTGTTTCGCCCATGATATCCCCCATGCGTTGCCATTCCTGAGGACTCAGGTGTTATTCCTCTGTATCCTGTAAGTTCACGCCATATCCCACCCTCAAACCGAAACACAGCCATGCAAACACAACTGCTTTAAGGTTGAAACACGAATGGGACAGAGGTACCCAAGCAAACGACTTTTGTACAAAGTCTCCCTCTGGTAACGTTGTTTAGAACTGCCTTTCCCAAAGTGGGCGATAATACTCCCTTGTAGGCGCTGCAGGCCTGAAGGGCAAGAAATTGTAAGAGGAAGAATGGTAAGAGGCCCAGAAAAAAAATGGGGGCATTGTGTAGAGGCTTGGGGGGTGATTTGTAACTTGAAGTAATAGTAGCTTTTAAGTAGATGGAAAAATGGATCTTAGATCTTTGGCATTTTTTTTTATTACACTGAAGTAAACGTACGTACATGATGGTATCTAAGTAACTATACTCAATACAAGAAGAATTGCTGGGCTTTGCGTAAGAATCACTCTTTTCTTGAAGGATTCAGTATCGTGTCTTCTTATTGTTGAATGTTTTGTAAGTATACATTATAATATATTTTAATATAAGAACAACCGGATTAATTGACGACTCAAATACGTTGAGTCGGGAATGCTTGACTGTTGTAAAACACTCGTAACTTAATCCAGTTTTAATGGATGATAATGGAGACCACTCCATTATCATCCATTGTAGCCGTATCCAGCGTATACCGATAGCGCAAGCAAAGTAACCATACTTTGCTTGCGCTATCGATATACGCTGGACACCATTGAATAATGATAGATAGAGTATAAAAGCAGGTCAGTTGGCCGATCGTGACGAACTCACAAGGATTTAGCCACGATGGTCCCTGGCACCACAAAGGTGGCAAATAAGCATACAGCCCGTTTGATAGTAAATGATTACTGTAGCCTATAGACGCGTGAATTTAATGGGTACAGAGGAATAACACCTGAGTCCTCAGGAATGGCAACGCATGGGGGATATAGTGGGCGAAAAAGTTTAATCTGTTATGTCCATGGTACTGCTCATGTCTGTAGGCGACGGTTACCACTTTCCATCAGGTGGACCGTCAGCTTGTTTGCCATTTTAAGTTGTATAAAAAAAAACGGCTGCAACACGAACGGGTGTCTCGTACACGTAGCCGACCCAGAAGAAGATTGATTTAAGAAAATAACAAAAGACGATCCATTGACGACAGTATTTTAGATAAACCCATGGAAATGTCCGGTCAGAAGGTCCAATGGACGTACTCAGGGGAACATAAGTACATATTGGTATAACTAAGTGAATAGCTTCATCGTAATAAATGAATAAGACCTCAACAATTAGCACAAGCATTTCATTTAACGCAATTAACATGCTTCTTATAGATAGGTAATTAGGTATATTGCGTGGTATAAGCCTCTCTTAAACACCTAGTTCAATTATTCGAATCACTTAATTATCTGTTAATTAATTAAGTAAAGAAGTATTGAATGGATTTATCAGTGAATTACCAATTGTAGTGTAAACGAACTTTGAATGTAAGGGAAAAAATAAAGCTTTATTGGTTTTAAAAAGGCCTTATCTGAAAAGTAAGGTTGTTAAGAAAAATACTTTATCTTTATGTCGCTTAAGTATATTTTACACAAACATAGTATCGTCTATATTAAAAAAGAACTTGTAAATTTTTTATAGGTAGATAATAAAATCTTGATGATTGTAATGATAGATAGTGAAAATCATTGCGGAACGAAGGTGCGGTTTTATTTTGCACAGTAAAATACCTACTCTCTACCTCTCGTACTTACGTATATATCGAATTACGAAATATTATATATATATATAAATATTATATTACGAAAGGATATACTTATTGCCATATCACATTTCCTACCAATTCACTACTTTATTTGTTTACATACATATATAGATACATATATATTTGTCACGCCCGTCTCCCATTAGTAACATCAATATATTTAATACCTACTCCTATAATACCTATTAGAATTTTTTACACAGAAAATTTTAAAAAATTAGCGATAAATTGATATTAATGAGACTAAACAAATTTCCCCAATACATATACGTATATAAGCTTAAATCCATACTAATATATTAAATGTGAAAGCCGACGTTTTTGTTTGTTTGTTACCTCCTAGCCCCTTAACCTTAGTAATGAACCAATCATCGTGAAATTTGGTGTATACACGTAGTGTTATAGTACTTATGTAAGTATATGGAATAGAAAAAATCATAGACTATTTTTTATTCTGGTCTACGTACCTAGTAGACGAAGTCGCGGTTAAAAACAGTAAAACATGATTATTTGATGTCATATTTAAATTCAAATTCAAATCATCTTTATTCAAATAGACTTGTTTACAAGCATTTTTAAATCGTCATTCTTTTTTTAAATCTACTGCAGGGTTCGAAAAGTTGTTATATATTGAGAAGAGCCCGCTAGAAACTCAACAATTGGTTACTCTTTTAAATTTCTGTTAACATTATGTGTATTTATTTAAATGTACTATATCTAAAATTACATGGTCGTTAAAAGCCTATGCATGATCGACTAACACCATGCACATTTCGTCATAGTCGTAGAATACTGACAGATCTGACAAATATTACATATAAAGATCCGTCAGTATTCTACGACTATGACGATTTGTCATTAAATTTATATAATTATATCACATCTGTATCTCGAGGATTTCACCGTGTGAATTAAGATAAAAATATCCTACATTTTAATCTGTGTGATGAATTACTCGTGTACCGAATTTTATCCAAAACTGTCTAGGCGGCTATGCGTAATTGATTACCAAAGTATCAAAAATCTTACATTTATAATATTAGTGGTACTAACATGAAGGTTGCCTACACTTTACAGTAACAGTAGATACTGTTACTGTATAGTCATAAATAATTACCATTCTCTTATTCCTACTAATTAATGTATGACATTTCACATATATTTATTTATAAGTGAGATAATGTTCAATTAGTAAAAATCAGTGTGCGGTTTTCAGTTTATTTACGTGTAAAATTTATATATATAAACAAAAAAATAATAATTTCCTTGATACTTTCATTAAAATTATGTTTCATTATCATTACAACATATGTGACTATTAACTGTAATATTACCTCGAAACTTACTGACAGCTATTGTTTCTAAAACATCTATCTAAATATTTCTACGCAATATCATAAATGTTGATATCAGAAATTCATAGATTCATAGCTAAAAAAAATATCGATCACACATACATCTAAGAGTAACCACATCATGTGTTTACTACATAACCATAATAAACAAACTACACACATAATTAATTGCCAATACAAATAAAAATAATAAAACAACCCATTGAAAACTAAACGAAGACGAAATATATACACACGCAAATCAAAACAGAGTTACACCATTACAGCATTAATCATTCATACTCAAATAAATCTTAAAATATATAATCACTAATCGGGGCTTATAACTCATACAACAGCCCTGAAGCGTACACTAACACCTTTAAATAGCTTAATTCAAATTTTACCTCCTAAAAGTAAAAGCGCGAGACGGCAACGTCGCGTGGCCCGGTATTACGCTGTCAAACAGCTACAATACGCATTCAACTGTTTGATATTTTACACGGCACTGTTCAAATCGGCAGACATCTGAAGGGGCGATGCGGTTCCGCGACGTTGCCACGCCTATATTCACTGTCGCCAATCCCGTGCGAGCTTCTCCCGAGCGAGGGTTCATCGGCGAAGCACTCCCTGTATATCCGTCTCGTTTTAATCTAAAAAATCGTAGTTACACCGAGCGAGAAGGAGAAGCCAGTACGCGTTCGATATTTGAAAAATTATTCGCATTGAATAGCGATGTAACGGTTCTCGTTCGTTAACCAAATTGGAACTTAAACTGCTAAGATGTAAGTTTTAAATTGGTAAATTAAATTTGTAAATTGAATCGGTGTTTATTCATAGCGTTTTTGAAAATAATGTAAATACATCTTTGGCGATTTGTGGCAAAACATTGATTACTTGAGTCGAGGCTTACGGCGGCGGCGGTACAAATGTACAAAATATTTCTGAATTAATTCGAAAACAGTTAATCCAACGCAGCCAGTCTGGTTAGCGGTATCTTTTTTTTCCTTTTTGTTTATTTTTTATGTTTTGTTTATTATGGAGACGTACGCCAAAAATAACACTATATCAGTTAATTCTTTTTTACTTGAAAATCTTGGTAGGTAATTTTTTATAGCCCGATAGTGGTAAACAAGTGAACAATGAGCTTGATGGTAAACAGAATTTTAATTCATTAAAAAACTTGATATCAGGTATTCCGTGCTCGTCGCCGAACTTAAAGAAATAACGTTAGGTTACCTACCTTACGCCTATTTCGAAGGACACTATACAAGTCTATATAGGCACCTAGTTCGTTGTATAGGAATATCTAATATATAAAATTCTCGTGTCACGATGTTTGTTACCAAACTCCTCCGAAACGGCTTTACCGATTTTCATGAAATTTTGTGTGCATATTCGGTAGGTCTGAGAATCGGCCAACATCTATTTTTCATACCCCTCAATGATAAGGGTGATCCACCCTAAAATTTTTTTTTTGGCAAATTTTTTATTTCAGTCACCAGGTCGATATTAATTTTGATACTCCATTTGTTTTTGTACGATATATCTATAAATATGTAAAATGAGTCGTGCTGCTGGATGTACCCTGTAAATTCACTGCCATATCCCACCCTTCAAACCGAAACACAGCCATGCAAACATAACTGATTTACGGTTGAAACATAAATGAAACAGAGGTGCGAAAGCGAACAACTTTTGTACAGTCTCCTTCTACTATTAAAGCTTTGTAATAACAACATTAAGATGTGGAATCAAATAGATAATATCTTCGAAAATATAATAATTAATACTACTACAATATACTACAATAAAACTAATTTAAAAATAATTAAAAATAAATGAAAGATGAGCTATACGGAAACATCTAAAGCCGTAAAGCTATTTAAAAATATATTAGTTCTATAAAGGCTACATAGTAGCATCAGATACAGCACGCAACCGGCACCGGCCCAGTTCTGACGATCTCAAATTAATTAAGAATTATCATTGTTTCAATCTTTCATCACCACTTCATTCACCACGTCAGAATCAGCGGTGTGTAACTTCTTACATATCAAATCCGTTTTTGTTTTGTAATTAAAATAATAAGCATTTCACACGTACTAATAATAAGAAACGTCGTGGCCTAGTGGTTCAGTGCCACGGCTAGTAATGCGCAAATGTCGTGAGTTCGAATCCGTTTATAAAGATTTTGTATTTAAATATTCACCAACACTTTTTTTATGTAAGTTATGAGTAGATAGACAGATAGAACATTTATTTGAATGACAAATATGCATGATATTACGAATAGTCGATCATGAATGGACTTTTTTAAGACCTAAAAGGTGAGACCTTTTAGATTTTAGACATAGTACATTTAAATAAATTCAAATTCAAAATATTTATTCATTCTCCACAATACTGTATGAACAAACTATTTACTTAAAAATATACAGTGTATATATTTAAATTAATATAGATAATATTAAGACATATAAAAAAAAAATACAACAGTTACTCTGTTGAGTTTTTTGGGGGCTCTTTTCAATAGATAACAACTTCCCGAACCCTGTATTCATAAAAAATAACGATTTAAATGCCCTTGTCTATTTGAATACAGATGATTTGAATTTAAATTTGCTAAAACATTGATTTTTATAGATCCAGAGTGTGTGCACTTAAATCTTCGATATATAAAAAAGAATTCTAGAGACAATCATCATCATCATATCAGCCATCAACGGTCCACTGCTGAACATAGAACATAGCCCTCTCCCTTGAAGGATTTTGCTAGTAGTTGCCACACTTGGCAGGCGATTTTCTAAATTATCTCCTTCTTTCTTGAACGTCGTCATGTGAACTATCAGCTTGCTTGCCGTTCTAAGAATCATATAAAAAATGTATTTTTTTTAATTACTAAACTTGAATAAAAAAAAAGTATGAAATCTATGCAACCAGTTCCTTGAATTTACACTATAATGTAGCCTATGCTTTTATGATACCTAACTATATCAACATTTTGGAAATAAATATATTATAAATACATAATTATGCAATAACTTCAGTATATTTTTATTTTATTGTGTTGATATTTCCAGATAGTTGTATAGACTTACTTTCTTGTTTCATTAATATAAGGGCAGTTGTTCACATTAAATTACGTAGTAATTACTTATTCTACGGTTCTAAATAGTCATTAGACTATGTAAAACAAGATACATATAAACATTTTTTAATTATTTGCAGCTGGCAATAGTATCTATACATAAATAAATATGGCAGTATGCGTCGGTGGTCTTAATCTAACCCAATCGAAACTTTACGACTACATTTGCACTGACATTAAAAATATATCTGAATAGATAAGTATTACCATAGATTAAGAATTGTAACATTACCTATTAAAGCTAAAATTATTTCATATAATTAAATTTTACAACTCGTTTAAATATATAAGCTTTATTATAACTACCCACTATATTTATTTTGAATTCCATATTTTATTACTTTAAAGTTAGCACTCAATTATTATTTTTTTAATATTTCAAGCACCACTTTACTCTTCAGTCAACCACAATTATAACCGCTTAATGATAAATAAAACAAGAAATCCAAATAAAAAAGAATATATATGCTCACGATTTTTATCACAAGTAAGCAGGGTTGCCAGATGCAAATTTTGATTTTTACTCGAAAGTCTAAAAAATACCCAAATTTCTCCACGAATATAATTTCGAGATTAGAAAGTTTTTTTATCAAAAATTGCAAAAAAAGTAAACAATCTGGCATCCTTTCGGGTAAACAAAAAACAAACAAACCTCCAATGATTTTTAGAATTTTGTCTATCTACCAACCAGATGTTGAGTTAGACAACATAAAATCTGATGTATTATATATTTTATTACCTACTTCCAATATCCACACGTACGATGTTACAGGCAACAGCTAGTTTTAACTGTAATCTTATTTTACTATCTCAATAATATATTAAAAGTGTAACTAGATGATATCTGTACATGAGAGATATTTAGAAAAAATTAAGCTGATTGGGCTTTTAATAAGACAAGTAGATGCTTAAATAATTTTTAAAATTTTGTGTAAACGTGTCTATCTGTATGTTTATTCCGACATCACGCAAAAACTAACTGCACCAAATTGGATGCGGTTTTCACAGCTGTAAAGTCATTTAAAATCTGGTATATGTTTTATCTTGAAACGCCATCTAGAAATGGTCAACTTATTAGTTCCCCTACAAACGAATCTACTGTATAGTACGAAATAGCGGGTAAAAATCTAGTTATTTGTATAAATAACTAGAAGCAAAATGAACACGGACAGACAGTGCGGTTTCAAAGTAAACCTGAGTTTTTCCTAGAAACTACAACATAGAGCTCTTCAAAAAGGGCGATAACATACGCGTGACGTCTCTAGTATTACAGGCGGCCATAGGCTAGTAGCCTATGGCCGCCTGTAATAATGTGGCAATGGGCTGGTCTCATAGCTCGAAGAACCGATAACCGATGGGGAAGAAAGGTTTTTGAGTGGCGAGCGCGTCCGAGCAAACGTAGTATAGGACAACTCTCCACTAGATGGAGTGACGACTTGAAGTGCATTGCAGGGAGTCAGTGGATGCAGGTGGCTCAGGACCGTTCTTTATAGCAGTCTATAGGGGAGGCTTATGTCCAGCAGTGGACGAATAATGGCTGAAATGATGACGATGATGATGGCAGGCTACTACGACTCTGTTCACCATTATACGAACCGTATGCATGTTCGCCACTATAGTTAGAAAAAAAAATACCTTGTCAATTATTAATTAACAAGTGTTAATTACATTCAATAACCTCGTAAATACTTTGTGAACGTTTTTAAAAGAGCGATTTTTAATCAAATACATACATTATGTCCACACGGTGCGGGGGTAACATTGTTACCACCCACTGTGTGGTTGGCGTTAGCGTTATAAATCAAAAAATACCAAATACCCGAATGTCAGTATAATGTAAATATTTTGATTATCCAATGCTAATTATATGGTACCTACGGCTGTGTAATTTATCATTGTGCGTACGCGCAGACAAATTAACCTAATTCACTTTAAACATATTCACGCTGAAGTATGTATATATGTATATGTAAGTGAAGATTGTTAATCTATCATATGGGCACGTTGAAATATTACAAGAAATTTAATGATACGCTGCCAACTTTTAAATGTAGGGACAGGCAGATTTTTTTTTGTTTATCTAAATGATTAATTAATGATTTATACTGTTATTAAAAAATAACTGAAAACGAATAAGTGAATTAATAGGTCATATAGTGAGGTACAAAGATAAAAAGTGGACTCTCCAAACAACAAAATGGCGAGATCCAGCAGGAAAAAGGCAAAAAAAGAGATGGGCAGATGACATAATAAAGACAGCAGGAAAAAACTGGACCAATATTGCTATAGATAAGGGGAAGTGGAAAAAGATGGAGGAGGCTTTTACCCTTGGGGACCACTGAAGTGGATAA